CATCCCTCTCCACTTAGGGCATCCCTCAGATGTCCCCCAACTGACACCTCAGAAAGGCACCCCTGGAGCCACCCATCTCCAGCCAGGGCACCTTGGATAGCCACCCTCAGTCCACTTGCCCAGGGCACCCCAAAAAAGGCTCCCCTGGGGCCATTGTTTTCCACTTAGAGCATCTCAGAAAGCCTCTGCTGGATTTCCCCCAACACAGACACCCCAGAAAGCCTCCCCTAAGGCCACCTCTCTCCACCCAGAGCACCTCAGTAGGGTGTCCTCCGCCAAAGCCACCCAAGGGTCTACACCCTCCACTCCGGGCACCCCAAAAAGCCTCCCCTGGGGCCACTCCTTTCCACTCACAGCATCCCAGAAAGGCTCCCCTGGATGTCCCCCAACACAGACACCCCAGAAAGGCTTCCCAGGTCACCCCCATCCACCCTGGACACCCCAGAAAGGTTCTCCTGGAGGCATTCCTTTCCACTTAGAGCATCTCAGAAAGGCTCCCCTGGATGTCCCCCAACACAGACACCCCAGAAAGGCTTCCCAGGTCACCCCTGTCCACCCTGGACACCCCAGAAAGGTTCTCCTGGAGGCATTCCTTTCCACTTAGAGCATCCCAGAAAGGCTCCCCTGGATGTCCCTCAATCCAGACACCCTAGAAAGGCTCCCCGGGTCACCCCCATCCACCCTGGACACCCCAGAAAGGTTCTCCTGGAGGCATTCCTTTCCACTTAGAGCATCTCAGAAAGGCTCCCCTGGATGTCCCTCAATCCAGACACCCTAGAAAGGCTCCCCGGGGCCACCCCTTTCTACCCAGGGCACCTCAGTAGAGTGTTCCCCACTCAAGGCACCCCAGCAAAGTCCCCCAAGGGTCACCTCTCTTCACCCCAGGCACCCCACTCTCCACTTGGAGAATCCCAGAAAGGCTCCTCTGGACGCTCCCCAACAAAGACACTCCAAAGCACTTGCCCGAGGGCCACCCACCTCCACCCAGGGCGCTCCAGAAACACTTCCCTGGGGCCATCCCTTTTCCACTGAGAGCATCCTAGAAAGCTTCCACTGGATCACCTCCACTCAGAGCACCCCAGAAAGGCTCTCTCATCTGCACCCATGGCCCCCCAGGGCC